ATCCTACCAGAGATCGTGAGTCAATTCACGAAAGGTACTAGTGAAACAGAGAGTATTGGAAAAGTTTCGCCGACTACGACGGTCAATACGGAGCACATATATTGATTGGAATATGGGAAGAATTGAATAGTCCGGTGCATCACGAAAGCCTAATATTCTAGTCTACCAGCTACTATTTCCTAGAACCTAATCTTTTCAAGGTTCGACAATGGCAAATATTACAATCTTTCTTGAGCCCCAATGATATACAATTAATTAGTCATTGACCTTAATATAACAATCCTCTACTATGATCAATACGAAAGTCTTATCAAAATACAGATATTCTCGTTTTCTATCTTTAGGCGATAAAATACAATCAAGAGCTTATGACAGTCCATTAGATACAGAAAGTTTTGCATGACGCCATTAAATTCATCAAAACGAGAAGCCGGTTCAAAGTTCAAGAAGTGACCAATTGGGGGGAAAGGGGTTGCAGCAATTAAGTCATAGAGCTCAACCCGAGTTTTAAACTTTTTTAGATCGTGATTAGCTTTGTTGACAACGGCTACTTCTGAGCTATGCTAATTAACAACTAACACTGTTGTTGCATTTTTCACTACTGCTATATCATCTTGACTAATGCCTTCACTCAATAATACCGTGATTCAAACATATCATGCAAAGGTCTCTATGAGGGGCCACAGCTAAAGCAAAGTTTCGAGACTCTATCTGAAGAATTGTTGTTGATAATGTAGTCATAATACTTGACGATTGCCGAGGATAGTTAGGGGTTTAAAACCCCACCCTCACATGTCAAAAATAGCCCAAGGAAATCACCCGGAGTTTTTCGCATAATCCTATTGGTTGTGTTCTTGCCTAGAAATAGGTACGTCATATTCACACTGCACATGTCAATAAGGCAAACGAGCTCTTTCCTACAATAAATTTCCTCTCTCCCCTCTTCATCAATTGATACATACTAGGTACATACAATTTCATTTCCTCCCATAAGAAACCTCAATTGCGAAAATGGACTTATTACATCCAATATTCCATCCTTTCCTCTTTCTCTACCAAGTATGGCAATTCTTCCTTGCCAAACTTCTTTCTCCCTCTCCTCCAGTTGATGGTCAAAAGCTTGGAAGACCAAAAATCGCAATTATTGGTGCTGGATTGACTGGTGTTTCTGCTGCTTCTCATTGTGTGGGTCATGGATTTGATGTGCAAATCTTCGAGGCTGGTCCTAGGAGTCAATTGGGTGGTATTTGGAGTGTATGTTTAGTCTCCCTCTCTCTCTCTTATTGAGGATGCGGGTTTCCGCAGGCGAACAGGCACATGATAGATGCTAACATAATGTATTAAAAGAGAGTCAATAGTACATCTGGTCTACAAATCCATTCCTTGATGTACCGATTCCATCCCTCCGTTCAATGGCGAGGTGGCTATCCGAATCAACAACAAATCGTATCTCAAATCACCGAACTTTGGAAGCGATATGGTCTGGAAGAGAAAACAAAGTTCGATACTAAAGTCGAGAAAGTGTATCAAGACGACAGAGGACGATGGATAATCAATAATACGTCGGAAGGACGATTCGAAGGTATCATCGCAGCGGTGGGCACCTGCGGAGATGTAAAAATCCCACATATCCCAGGCATGGACAAGTTCAAGGGGGAGATATATCATTCAAGTGATCTCACCGGTAAAGACGCAAAGGGAAAGAAAATCATTATCATTGGAGGTGGCGCAAGTGCAGTTGAAGCATTGGAATTTGCGACCCATGAGGAAGCAACTGAGACCACAATTTTGGCCAGGAGTGATAAATGGATTATCCCTCGAAATGCTATAGTGGATATGCTACTCGCGTTAAATATATTCGGACAAGAAACATTCTTGAGTTGGATACCCGAAACTCTTCTCAAGAAACTCTTTTACAGAGATCTGGAAGATCTAGCTCCTACCGACAAAGGATTATTCACTGGTACACCCATGGTCAATTCAGACGTTATGGATAAAATCCGTAAAGGAAAAGCCGAATGGCTACGAGGCGACATTAAAGGATTCACCGAAGATGGTATCAAGTTCAACCTTCGTGCAAAAGGTGTTCCACCAGGTGGCACTGGACAATCAAAACTCGTAAAGGGCGATATCGTCGTAATGGCTACAGGATTCGACCGTCCATCTCTCGACTTTCTCCCATCAGATACTTTCCAAGATCCTTACTCGCCACCCAACTGGTATCTCCAAACCTTTCCTCCCTCACATCCATCCATCTGCTGTAACAATTGCACATACGTCAATGCCATTGGCGCGGTAGGCAATTGGCATATCGGAATCTACACACGTATTCTTCTCATGTTTCTATCTGATCCCCTAACCAGACCTAGGCCCTTCTGGATGGAACGCTGGATTGATATGACACGACTCCTTAAGAGATTCAGTCCAACGGGCGCATTTGATTTCTTTACATATCTGGAGCTGGTATGGTGGTTCACGTTTTGCATTGCGATCAATCCATTTAGATGGAAGTGGGCTCTCTTTGTGTTCACGGGTATTGGAAGGGGATTGCCGAGGAAGGTTGTAGAGGCGGAGGATTCTTTGAGGGGAACGTTGGGATGGAGAAATGGACATGCGGAGAATCATGATCAAGGTAAGAGCTTTTAAGGTAGGGGGGAGGAGATGGTTATCTATTTAGAGGGCCTGACGCGTTAGGGTTAATGGGTAATCTTGGGAATCGACATGGGCACGGGATTGGAGGGTTTGACACAAGATAATGATGATAATGATGAATCGACGGGTAACACATATTGGGTCGGTTAATTTTGCATGGCTGGCTGTTATTTATAATGGAGCAACAGGTACTAGGTAACATACAATCAAAATGGAGAACAAACTAAAATAAAAGCATAACCAAAAAATTAAGAATCAAAAGGAAATTCCAAGAGAAAATAAAAATATCTGTTGCACATCTGAAGTTCTTGGCCATGCTAATTAGTAGTTGCTAGATCCCGCATTTAGTTCGCTCGCTAAGAGAGCCTGACAGCCAAGGTGGATTAAGGGGCTAGTTATTCTAAGAGAAAATTTTGTATGGTTTGATTTTCTTGGCAGGAAAAAACAAATTTGATCATGATTGCTGAAGTGGGAAAGTATATCGTGGTAGTGGGTTGAATTTGTTATTTTGTTTTATTGTTGGGAGGAGAAGTATGAATTAAATCCTGTTTGCCATTCTGGATGGGGACGGAGATGAAGATGAGATGGATGCGGTTGGGGATGTAGATGAAGATGAAGATGTTGGGTGGTGGAGAGGGGGAGGGGGAAGGAGGGAGTGTGGAGGTTTGGATTTGATGGGATGGAGATACATAGATGAGTAGTAATGATAAGGTAAATATTGGCAATGAGGTAGTAATATTTGAATAGTGAATGGTAGTATCAAGGAAGACAGTAATGATGAGATAGATGATGGTGGTAAGATAAATAAAAGTAAGTACACAATAACGTCGAAATATTCTGGATGAAACATTCGAATACACCCTTCGTAATTGAAGTGTGATTGATGCACGATACAATAACAACACTGATGATGGAATCTACTCCTTATGAGACCTTCCACAGGCGTTCACCGTCAAATCCCTTGCACCCAATAACTACCTCCTCTCTAATTCAGTCTCTCTTCCTCTATCTTTGCCTCCGGCCCTAACAGGTTGCGAGACATCAGTTATTCTGTTTCACACCCCGTTGCTATTGTGATTATTAGTATACTGACCTCTCGCACCGAAATAGATATTGGAACATTATCTGAAATGACTTTAATGATCTTTGCAAATGTATTCATGGCAATGTTTGCTTGTTAATTCAACATCGGGGGAAAAAGCTATGGATCGGATTTAGATTTTGATATTGCTCGCGAAAAAGTTGTTAACATGACGCTTAATACCTTTACTTGGACAATTAGTATGGGGCATAATTTGGTTTAGCACCTTAAATCATCCTAATATTTACCTGTTATATCCAGAGAGTCCGGCAAACTGTGAGATTTCAGATTTGTGTTTTTCCTCACTGAACATAGCATGGTCTTAACATCGAGCCTTTCATCGAACGCATTCTCTCCTTGGGGAATAATCCTGATGGAAAAATCGAATTTGCAGAAGAATATCAAAGAACGGTGCTTACATTTTCAAAGCCATGACACAGTTGCTAGTGGTATGAACGAGTTTCGACCTGCAGGCAATTCTGACCTGATTTGTGTGCAAACAACATTGTAGAAGAAGACTTCAAGCTACTTGGAAGAAGGTTGTAGCGTAGGCTTTCAGGTCGTTACATGCTCCCAAAATTGAAGACTTGTCCCCGCTGATGAGTTGACGGACAACAGTTTTTGCTGTTGGTGCAGTACCTGGGCATGGCGGGCGTGGAAGTAAATGCTGGTGTTAGATGTTGAAGTCACTACTTCGGTCCGTATTCCGTCAGGTGTGTTTGATGGCTGCCCGCCCTTCTCACGGCAGCCAAAGAATCTCGAATATGACCGGAAGCAGTACAAACGAGAAAAAAAAAGGATTGATTGGCGGTACTGGAAATGGATCCAGATTGACGAACCATCTCGGACTTTCCCCCTCGGCTCCAGGCTTCGCCCAAAACCTCGGAGATGGTGAGCCTTACAAACTTGCGGGGTCTAAATAGGACAAACAATCTCCGCAAGCAAAGGGGGTTTGGGGGCTAGACCCCATTAATAAGAAACATCCATTTTTATATACGATATCTATTTACATCATTATCAATTGAATGACGCTCCGCTGCTCCCCGGTAGCCACTGCCTATTTCGCTGGAAAAACATCCTGCTGGCATGATGAGAAACTGGGCTTTGGAGGCTTGCTTTGGAGGTTCCTCTCACACTCCAACCGAGAAAAAACCCCCCTCATCATCCCATGGCACCACCAAAAAACTCCACCAACCCCATCCAAAGTCATCCAAAAAAGAAGATGGGATTAAACCATCACGAGTTTTCAATCCAAAGACAGCGTCTTTGGCGGTGCTGGGAATCGAACCCAGATTGAAACGGAAATCATTCGTGAGATATCCTGCAGAGGATGAACCACAACGTCACGTGCTACCATTACACCACACCACCATTTTTTATAGATCCCGAGTTCCTAACCTCACTTCGTCACCAACCAGCTTGATGTGTCAAGGTTGGATGAATGATGAGATGAAGGCTATGAGGGAATGATTATAATTGACTAATGTCATACGAGTATATATTATGCTGAAAAAAAAATCAAAAGTTTTGTCAAGAAGTGGAGAGTGCATTAATTCAGCAGATGCTTAAGCGAAGTATTGTGGGGGGCCCGTTATAAGGCTACCTACGGTTCGGAGTTCGGAATAATTTCTAGATTACCGAGATATTGTTTCCCGAAATTTTCACGGACAAGAGTTGCTGTAAGGTAAATTGCTTATTGCTTGGCACGGCATTGGTTATGCAGATCAGATGTGCTTTTTTTTGTTTTTTGTTTTTTTTTTGGGTAAAACGTTGGGGAGGTTGTGCAACCCAATGAATTTGGGATGTGATGCAGTTGGCAAGTCGTGCAAAATGTTACGCAATGGGTGAAACTGGGACAGTTTAATTTCTGCTTTCTAAATCTTACTCCAGGTAGTCTGCCTTTACCGCAGTGGCTCTCGGAGGCCAGCGGAGCGTCACTTTTAGAAGTATGGCTATGAATATCAGATTTTAAATTCCAAGTTACTAGCAGTTGTCATTTAAATATACTTGAGAACCTCTATAAGTTTATCATGGGATGTGAGGAACCAAAGATTTCTAGCATTTTAGGCATTTTTCTAATCAAGGAAAAAGAAGAAGGCAGTCATTTATCGAAAAAAAGAATCGTTTATATTTGTTAAAGGCTATCGTAAGATAGAAAAAGAAGTGAACCTCCACACTATCGACCATCAAGGTGATCCAAACTCTATCGCTCCTACTGTCAACTTCACGAATTCACTCCCCAATCCACACACTTAGTAAGAATAAGACTCGTAGATACATTGAGAGTAGTATGGGTTCTGAACTTTGCAGTAGGTACCCTCAACACAGGTGGTCGATCCAGTGTAACCAATTCCTCCACATCGGTAGTAAGCAGCGACCAAAGAGCTTGATGGGTAAGCGGCGCCACCAGTTCCAGAGGCGAAACCGGTAGAAGCAATGGTCGGGGAAGCACCAGTTGAAAAGGTTGTTGGGTATGGTGGAAGAGAGTTTGCTGGGGCCTTTGAAGAGGATGATGGAGCAATGAATGTTGTCGAGGTATCTACATCAGAACTCTTCAAAGTTGTTGGGACAGCGACGGCTGTGGTGGAGGTTGAAGTTTCTGGAATGGAGGTTGCAGGTTGTGGAGTAACAGTGACAATGACGGTCTCAGAAAGGAGGTTTGTGATTGTAGTTGTGTACGGAACACTGCTTGGTGTAGCAAGGTCGGAGCTGACTGCTGGCGCGGAAGTGACGACAGGAGCTTCGGAGCTAATGGCTGCAACAGAAGTTGCTGCGCCAGAAGATGCTACCGCAGAGGATGACTTGGTCTTGCAAGGCTTCTTGGACTTGGTGTGGGATGGCTTTCCGCTTGGGCGAGGGAAACCAGATGAGTGTCCAGTTCCAGATGGGAATGGGGGAGCTGTTCCATTGAAGGCCTGAAGTTGGAAGCTATTCACGATTAGCAGACTGTAAAGATTGAATATGAAAGTAATTTTGTACTTACTGGCCTCCAGGACGATGGATGTTTGTTGCCATAACTGATTGGCCGAGCGCGAAGCTGGCGAGAATGATGGCGTTGCACTTCATTTTTGTTGAGGTATGATTTTCGATATCTTTTTTTTTTATAGAGGATCTGGCCTACTGATATATTCTTTGATGTACAAATAGAACGTAAAGATGGCACAGCCAAGAGATTGTGGTAAGAGCAGGTCTTTGAAGAAAGAGAGACTGAAGGTGAGATACTTCGAAAGCTGGTAGAGAGAAAAAAAGATCGAATGGAAATTTGAGAAACGAGAAAGTATTTGAACGATACACAGAATGATAGTGCATGGTTCCAGACTATGGATTGTATGGTCGACCCGGGTATCCCGCCCCTCCATAATTCAAGGTATATTAGTATTTGTGGATCAAGAAGCTTGAATAAAGCTCAGGACAGAACCCAGCACTTGCTATTGACCAATGGCAATGGAATGGGGGTATATTAAGAAAGAAAGATTGGTGATTTTGTCTTCCATTTCTCCTGACGAAAGACTGCAATCTCACCGCCGCTTGAGTGTTTCATTGATAATTAATAGTATAAGATTGATTTAATTTGTATTATAATATCACCAATCTCGTGGAAAGCAGCAAGACATGTGTTATCAATCTGTCAGGGGAAATGCCAGGGGATTTATTGGTAGACCATAAAAATATATGAAGTTCATCTCATGTTGGATTGGGTAGATTGGGAAAGGTTGAGGAAACTTTTTTCGTTCTAGATTTTTGTCTGACATTCAAGGATAGACACATCACCACTAAACTCATATAGGTAAGACTCTCTCGTCTAATATAGTGGATTTTGATTAACGATGTTTCGAATTGATATCTCCTTTTAAATGTTCCAGACTAGATTATCAAGATTATGACGACGAGATACGCCATCAATAACTTTCTTCAGAATCTTACAGCTAAAGATGAGATGGACCGCTTGCCAAAAATCGTGAGGCGGCGTGCTTACCTGCATTCAATATTTCCAGTCCGTAATGCCACATCCCAATCTAGGCACTCGAACCGCTAATTTAGCATTTATGGTAATGAAGCAAGCCAAAAGATGATGTGCAGCTCACAGCTTGTCTCCGCCATCTAGCTACCCAACAATCCAACGACAACACTATCAACATCAAATGTTTTCTCAATCCAGATCGTCATTCGGTGATTGTGATATGCAAAGAATGAGCGGTTACCAATGGTTTCATGAAATGATTCCATGGATGGGGGTATAACAACCTTGTTTGACCCCCCCTATCATTACAGCCAACAAGGATTTTTATAGTGATAGTCGTAATCACATCAATATAAATATCCCTGACATAATGGAAATCTCGAACCAGAAACTTTCGTCACACAAGCAAGGCTATGCCAGGCTATCATCTTTGACACAAGATCTTCATTGAGAAAGTCTTAGATTGATGGAATACGAAGAGATGAAAAGAACGAAAAATTTGTTATCAAAAAAGCTTAACTCAACTTGATCGTTAACCAGGTAAATATGTCGTTGTTTGACTTTCGCCAAATTTCTAATGTCGAGGCTTACATATATTAGAATTAATTTCTGCTACTGCCATCACTTACTGATAACGGAGATTTTTCTGGAATTTAATTGAATTCCCTCACCGTCAGCTTTGTGTAAGAGAATATATTTGAGTGATTTTCCTGAGTGAGATCGACATGCTAAAAGCTCCGCCCGATGTTTCCCCCTTTCAATCCACATCGATGAAAGTTTGGCAGATTCCTCCATCTTATCAGTTCAGAAGAAGCCACTGAGCCAGCAGTCCCCGACTCGCCATACCTCCCTTTCAATTGCAATTATCTGTTTGTGGCCTTGACTTCTTCCTGTTCGAATCTATATCTTCATCAAGTCACTTTTATTCGTGAACATTTCTATACCGATTTCCCTCGGTGAATTCCATCGTTGATTTACGTCTTCTTTTCATGCATTCCCTTTGAATTATTAGGGTTGACGTCGACTGAACTGACCAATGCATCTTCCACTAGACGTATTGATGTATCGATTAGTTATGTGATAAGCTATTGCGAATCCCTTCGCGGAAAGTATCAAAAGACGATATTATTCATTACCCATCACATATAGACAATTAGAAATTTCTCATCTAATTCTACGAACGCATCAATTCCATTACATGTTACAGCTACACGTTTAGATATAATTTCTGACAACACTCCGAGAAGAGTGGGAGTAAGTCAAATTAGACAAAACTGACAAAAAAAATAAAATAAAATATGTCGCTGGGATGGTTCTTGTCAGTCAATTTTCCGAAGATTTTTTCACATCCACAGGGCTTAGGATCTTATGTGCCATCGTATCATAATTATCTTTATGGTTTACTTTCTCAGAGATATTTGCTGGTTTGATAATTTTCCTGTTGCTAGACCTCAAAGTTGACTTCTAAAAATTCGCTTTTCGGCTGCGGAGATTGGCTTTCAATGATATCTAGCCACCCATTCACAAATGTGGCTCTTATTTGATATTTTCTTTACTGATTTATTCTGTTGGAATATGAATGATTGGTCTCGAATAGCTGAATACTGTTACACAATAAAGCCCCAGCAAACCATCCTCCTTTCATAAATTCCGGCTCGGGAGAGTTCTCGAACAATCTAGACTGTCACATACGATGATAGATGTATTTTTCAAAATCCGTTGCTTAGTTTATGCATAATTATACGTTGTTAGTAACCTGGGAGGATGACTGACTGTAGTCATCCCATTCAATACCAAGATACATCACATTCTACTATACTGCGAATCACATATCCCCGAGCATTTTACTTGCATCAGTCAGTATTGGAAACAAGAAGTCAGCTTATATCACCAGCACTCGTGCATTATATAACCTTCTAAATATAGAGACAACCAAATGTGCTTACTAGTACCCGGCTGCAGTCAATAAAGACGACATGAAGCTGAAAAAATGAGCTGGAAGTCACAAGGCTGGCTTGCTCTTCCTTGTTCGGAAAACTCCACAATGAAGTAAGTTCATTTCGAATAAATATCGTTTGCGTTCGGATTTTCTAAACGACAATCGTGGGATTTGATGGTGCCGTCTAGCGCACTGTTATTTGTAGCTTTGTACTTTCATTGGGAATGTTTAGACGCCGTTTCTCTAATCATTTCTACTTGTGGGCTTTCGAGGATATTGGATGTTCCGCCCTTCTATTTTAGAAAGGAGGATTATGTGTCGGGGGACTACTTTCTATCCAATCTTTGGAAATTTGCCATTGATCTTCCTATCTTACAATGTTTGATACTATCGTTCAACCGTCTTCAACCTGACCCACGAAGCTCGCAAGCGTCATAATCACCATATTTTTATCCTCAAATATGAGCTCTA